ATCTATGATGATTTGTAGTTATGGTCTAAAATTAAACTGATCTGAAGTTGGTTGAGTATAATTATGTAAATTTCTTTGATTCTAATAAACTCAACAGCTGAATCTTAACTGTTATTGCTTATATGGTCAAATATTTTTTCCTCTGTGAAAGATTTCAGGAACTGGGAAAACACTTTAACTTTTCTTTTAAAAAATGATATGCACCTAAAAGTTCTTGAGGAAAAACCATAAAAATATTAAATTTATGGAAGTTTTATTCAAACAGTCATAGAATTAGGCTAAGTTCTTTATTAATACTGACTTCAATCCCATAAGGAATTGGAATTACCTTCCTTTTTGACATTAAGAAAATGTTGTTTTCAGGTGCTGACTTCCAAAGGTCCCGTAAGTTGTTACATATGTAGGCTTGATTTTGAAATCAAGAATTTCTCCTGGCAGCACCATTGATCTCTAGGGGCAAATTGATATGATTAGATTATCTGGCTCAAACTAAAGCCTTCTTTTAGAAAAATATTTAAATTCATTTTTTTTGATTTGGGATACATTTAGAAGAAACTGATCAGTGAAGACACTGCAAACTTTATTCAGTTCCTTAAGATAAAGGGTGACATGCATTTTGTTTGTCTTATTTGCTTAGTTTTTCTAATTCTGTCCAAACCCATAAGCAGAGGCTGTCTTATAAGATAATGAATGGCTCATAGCGAACAATAAAAACTAATTAGAATAAGTTGCATCTCCATGTAATTCAGTGTATTCTTCTATAACCATGGAGAGTCCAGCTATGGCTGTTCTAATATTATTATAAGAAAAATTTCGTAGTGGTAATAGGAATAGAAAGATAAGGTCAGTCTCTGTTCTTGAAGACACTAGTTTTGACGGCACATTTTTTCCATCTTACTAAACATGTCCCCAAGAATTTCTCTTAATCTGGTTGTTTGTATAAACAACATAGCTCATTACATGCCTGGTGACTTATTTGTAAACTTGTGAGAGGGGGACCAAAAATTCTTGGGCCTGGAGCTTACATGTTTGGGGGTGTATTTAAGTTCTCAAGTTACAGAGTTTTACAAAGTATTCTTGTTAGTTATGGTCCTAAACTTAAGTTGCCATGTATTCATAGTGAATCTGCATCAATTGCAAAGAAGACGGTTGATTTAATATCTTATAACTAAGGGGAGCTATAAAATGCCTCAACATTTCCCATAAAAATGAAAAGGTTACGTGAAAAATGTTGCTGTTTTTCTCATGATTATAATTTCTTGTTTGAGGTAAGTGTGGTGCAATTCATATTTGGGAAAATATTTTTAAAAAAAAGGCAGAGTACCCAAACGCCCAAGTCCTCTACATCATTGCTAAGTCAGCTCTTCAGTGAGTCCAGTTGTCACGATATTGATGGTGCTAAGAATTGGAACAGGCAAAGACTATCTAAATAACAACATGATGTCACCGTAGCCAGGGACAGAAGTAAAAGTAAAAAGCTTTTGTTTTCATGACGGGATCCATGGTATTAAGGATAAAAATAATTTAGGGTTACTATTTCTCAAAGAGGGCAATCAACTAGAAAAATAAAACTTTGAAGATAATTCAGATGCTCTAAACAACAAGTCATCATATTACAAGGATCTTTCAGCTCCTTAAAATGGCTGAGCACAGCTAGTAAATGACAAGGGATTTTTTTCTCATGCTGCTAAAAAAAGATGAGTCGAATTTACCTCAGCAGCGGCTGGCTTGAAGTGCCATGGGGAGACGGTGACTTAGGTATGGTATAGATCTGTATGAAATTGTGTATATATATATATATATAGATACAGATATAGATATAGATATGAAATCATGAATCTTTTTGCTCTTGCAATGTGATATTTAAGAGCAGGCCCTTACCCTGTAATAATAAACCAGATGTCTGGGAACTAGTGCTATTTCTAAATATAGACAGTCACCCCTGCATAGCTCCACACACCGTAGCAGTATGAGTTTGATTAGCATGATGAAAGTTACATTTTGTAAAAAAAAAATAATAAATTCCATACTGATAATTTATCTGCATGAGTAAGGCTGAACATTTTTTCAAAGGATTTTCCCCTTTATCCTAGATACACAAACTGTAAAAATTTGGAATACTACAAAATAGTTATATAGTAAACTATTTTTTATCTCGTTTGATCTTGAAAAAAATAATATAAAGCATGTCCATATGGGGAAGTATGATATTTAATATTGAATATATTTGAATAGATATTTGTAGTTGCTAAATTTCTGACACTAACAGAAAAAAGCGGGGATGGGTGAAGACATTTTGAAACAGAACGATTTGAAACAAATAATTTTTGTATAAGGTGATGTGTATATTTATAGATAATTTCTTTCATAGATAATTTCTTTCATAGATTGGGTCATTTGTTGATTAATTACTTGAGGAATTCGTGAAGAAAAAGTGTAATGCAGTTACTTATTGCTTTCAAGCTGGAACCAGCTGTTGTGAGCATCAGTACAGTCAATAAGGGGAACCCATCGTTAGAATGCAGAAGAGAGCTTGTTGGAAGGGCTGTGGAGGCTTCCCTCTGCTGTAAACCTTGTTAGCTTTGCTGATTCTTAAAGGCCTTCATGATGCTGGGAAGGTCTGGGCCTACAATAAACTTTCAAAGATCGTTTTTCTAGGCCTTTGTCAATCTTATCATTCAGTTGTCTTACATAGCAACAGTTGTAAAATGTGTAGTCATAATGAAGTAGAATCGCATTCTTTAGTGTCTGTTGCTAGAATAAATAAAAAAAATGCTGAACTTTATTACATCACTAGTTAGGAACTGAAAAACTGACATTGTAAATATCATGATTGAATTCAATCATATATCTAAGCATTGTTTATTTGAGACTCGGTGATTCCCTACCTTTCTGTTGATGAAACTGAATGTAAGTGACAATCTATTTTGAAAGGTAACATAATTTTCCTATTTTCTTGCTTGAATATTCACAGTAAGAACTGATCTACATTTGAAGTGCTCAGGCACTTCATTTTGCATTAAATTTTCAGCGACAGAATAAACCAATGTGGATGATTTGTTAGGCATCACGTTTCACCCTGGAATCTTGGTCACATTTCGGAGGTCAGAAGACAACTCAAGCTGACAAAGCACTCTTACCTTCATGGGCACCTCACCAGCCCTTTCTTTCTTTTTGTGAAAGGTTCGTTGTGCGTTAGTTTGCGTGTATGTGGGTGCTCACACAGGTAAAGTGTTTAGACAGCAGGTAAAGGGCTTAGACTAGTGCCATACACATAGTGCAGCTCTTTGACATTAACTATGCCACTATGATTTGCAGGTAAACAGGAAAGAAAAAAAGGCACTCTTGCCCCCTCTACCTTAGTATTTCCATTTTCAGTAAAATACTCTTTTGCCTTTAGATGTAAAGATTCTGCTGTGTGGTCAGTGACCTCAACACTTTGTGTCATGCTCATGTGCTTACTTATTTTTCCTTGTCATGTGTACCCAGACTTTATTCAGTGGAATTATTTAGGTATCATTTACAGGGTTCTGGTCATTTTGTGGAAAGATTATGATACTGATACACAGGTAGAATCAAGAGGGCTTTTGAATTCTCTAAACTGTGGAAATAATGAAGTCATTTCTAAAATACAGCATTCTTCTGTACTTACATCACTAATAATTTCATTATATAAATAAAGTTTAGATAGGAATTTCATAAAACGTGCATTGTTGACTAATATCCAACTGACTATATCAATTTATGAAGTAAAATTAATTGGTGGCCTTAAAATGTGTGTGTTTATTCTATCCTATGGATTTAACAAGGGACGAGAATTAGATAGAAGATAGATATTAGTATTGATAATTTTACTATTTTACAAATATTTTAGTCAGTTTTGGTTTTGTTTCTTAAATTTTATTTAAATAAATGTTTTCTGGCACATATAGCCTCCTTATTTAATCACTTTAAATCCTATATTATTATCTTTAATATCCAGTAAATTAAACCAATAGAGACAGGACTGGGGGAGAGAGAGAGAGAGAGAGAGAGAGAGAGAGAGAGAGAGAGAGAGAGAGAGAGAGAGAGAGGAGAGAGAGAGAGAGAGAGAGAGAGAGAGATATGCAGGGGCAAAAAACATCGAGATGGTGGAACTGAGCTTTTGACATCTTCCTTTGAAAGAAGCTCTCTTTCTCTGAGATAGTGGCTTTTGGGCAGAGAAAGCCGGGAGAGAGAGAGAGAGAGAGAGAGAGAGAGAGAGAGAGAGAGAGAGGAGCAGTTGATATGTCTCTTGAAGAGAGGGAGAGGAGAGCTCACGCACGAAGACCTCTTTTCCTAGTGGCTGGGGTATAAGAAACACCCGAGAAGAGGAAATTGAGGGACATGACATCTAGGTTGGAAGATAAGTGCCGTGGTTTACCCACACCTAATACACAGAGAATGTGTGATCTACCAGTGGGCCTATGACAATATTAGCACCATTTCCAAAATAGTTGACTCTGTGTCCCCTTTGATAACACCTTTCTGGGACCTATCTAGGCTATGCCATGACCCAGACTTGGGGCTGACCCACTTGACCTTCTTAGCAACAGTTTGAAGCTCATACCCATCAGGACCAGGAGAATCTGAAGGCTGGGGTTAGGAGAGATAATAGGGCAGGCTCAGAGTGTGAAGCCATGGGTTTGGCTCTTAGCACTACTAAAAATCCAGTAAGTACATCATTTCTGCTTATATACGAAAAAGCGTGTAGTTCAAACTTTGGACCTTTTGTGCGTCCCATACTTTTTGGTTGATTACTCAGTAGATACTATAAGTCTGCTGTAAGTCAGTTCTAGAGCAAATACACCCCTCTGCATTTACACATTCACTAGCGGGATACTTCAGCTAAGTTTTTTAAAGCTTTTTAAAATATGGGATCAGTCACTGGGTCACTTTGTTAAATGCTGGGTGTGAATAATTTACATTGAACCTCATAGAGTTTGTGTTGACCCACAGGATCTTGTCATTTGTTTTTACAGGCTCCTGGGCAGATCGATCACCACTCCATGAAGCTGCAAGCCAAGGTCGACTTCTTGCTCTGAGGACACTATTATCACAAGTAAACTATTACATTATACTTCAAAATAAGCTCCCTTCAAATGAGCACAGACCACTGTCAAAGCAAATTCCTTTGAAATAAACTTTCTTAAATGTTACTACTGCTCCTTCTTTATAACTTGTATAAGATAAGACATTAGTTTCTGTTTTACATTTGAAATTCTTTCCTGAGTATTTTGTCATAATGCTATGTCTTCCTATTTCAAATTTCTCTGGTAGTATAGTTGAACAGTAATATGGATTTTAGAAATTAGTTATTGCATTGATGTGTTACTTATTAAGCATTCTAAATATGTGTATTTTCATGTAGTATGTACAGCTAACTATAGACTTAGTTCAGTCACATGTCTCCAAAGGGGTAGGCAGACCAGATGTTTAAGCGGCATATTTTACATTGTGGTATTTTATGAAATATCATGGTGAACTGCCTGTGAAGTCAGGAGAATACTATTCCTATACTTCATCAGAGGGAGCAGAGAGAGAAAGAAAAGCATAGATTCCTCCTGCAAACAGAAAGTGGCTAAGCTTGAATCAGTGCATTACATATTATCAGCTTCCAGTCTGACTGTAATGTATACTCAGGGCATTAGTGATTCCCAGTGTCACGGAGAAAGGAATTTCTCAGATGGTTATGAGAAAGGAAAGTTTTTAACAACATAGTTGGAACAACACCGGACACTTGACGCAGCCACAGCCTACCCAAGTTTCAGTTTCTCACCTGTAACATGAAGATGTGTCCAAGGTGTTCCCTTGGAGTGTCCAGTCCTGTGACAGCCATGTGACTGTTTTACTCATCACTTCAGGGTGGAGGGAGGACCTGTGTAAAAAGGTCAGTGGTTTCAAAGGCTAATCCCCTGGAGAGGGTCACATAATGCTTTCAGAGGACGGCAGTCCCAGTGTTTCCCAATGTGTCTCCTCCCCACCGGTGATGCCAACCCTGAGGAGGGAGAGGCTCCCGCAGCACCCTCTCACAGGCCTCCATCATCGGCTCACACTAGGATGTGGCCAAATCTCCTCAAACAAGACTGGTTACTAGGCATTTGAAATCATGAAAATGATAAGGACAGGGTTGATAAAAATTCGCCTTTCTAGCAACAAGATACACTGAGATTGTCTATGCCTGTGCCTCCATGTGTTCTCCTGTGACAGTTTATGACACTCTATGCTAAGATCTTGCCTTGAAACTTCATATAAAGTTCTTAGTAAAATTAACAATAATAAACCATGAATTATTAATGATCTCCAGAAGGCAAAGAGTCTTACATCCTAAAATTTTATATGATTTAGTCTGATATTATCAGCTTAATTAGAGCACAGTGCTTATTAAGCTAGAGAATTAAATGAAATCTCATATTTTCCACTCACTGGGAACAGTAATAATTGCCATAAACGTATTATCCCATTCAACTCTCATGACCACCCTAAATTTAGAATGCAAAATATTTGTTCCAATTATCGTGATTATTGGGAGTCATGCTTTAAACGCAAATCTAATTTTCAGGACAGAGTTCTCAACCTTACTGTATAACTCAATCATATCTACTAAATGAATAGCTATTTGACAACACATTCATAAATCAATTTACAAACATTTAGTTTTTCAGTCTGGAATTGACCATTGATTTTATGATTTTTATAAAAAGTCATTAATTCTATAAAATAAAGAATAGAGAACCAATATCCCACCAAAGGTCTTAAGAAAATGAACTTTAAAGAAAATGTGCCAGAATCTATTAACAAAATACGTAGCATTATTAGGTGATGCTGCTATAATAATGGCAGTGTTTTTAAACCTCAATTGTGCCATTAAAGGGACATATTATAATGATTATGTGTTTACAGGAACAGTGTAGTAAAATGTGTATATAATGTATAATGACCAAACCAATGTAGCTGATTTTCCATGTCATACATTTTAAATTTTACTAACACTTAATAATTGTGCATATTTATTGAGTATAGTATGACATTCCAGCACATGTATTCACTGTTGCTGGGCAAAACAGAATAACTGATTTATAGTAGTTACTCTTCTCATTATGGAGACCAACTGTCCTACAAGAAATCACTGGGGGGAAAGGTTTGTTTGGACTCACGCTGTCACATAGGGGATGCTGGTTGGCTGGGGCTCCGGCAGGAGCCAGGAGCGAGGCGACAGCTGGCCACACCGTTTGTTATATTTCCACAAGGAAGAAGCAGAGCAGGCTGACAAGAAACAGTAGGAATATAACCATAAACTCATCCTGCACCAAAGGGGTCTACTTCAGTCAGTTAGACTTTTCCTCTTAAAAGCTCCAGGATAGAACCAGAAGTAAAAATGAGATACAGGGTATTAAGTAGGCAGTTGACACAGAAAAATATCACAAAAAAGCTTTAAAATGTTGACATGAAGACAGAATAATGACTGGCTGAAATTAAAGGGCTCCAGAACATGGTCAGATGCCATTTATAGTGACTTAGCATGCATATTGTGCATAACTAGAAGAGGAGACTAAAGAATTTCAACAGCTGACTCAGCTACTACACTGGTTAGATCCTTTCGTCTTTAAACAATCTCCGTGACATTTACAAGGATGGCGGGATGACATTGTATACCTTCTTGTCTCACTGTAGGGTTATAATGTAAATGCAGTAACCATAGACCATGTCACCCCCCTCCACGAGGCCTGCCTGGGAGATCATGTGGCATGTGCAAGGACTCTTCTGGAAGCTGGAGCTAATGTAAGTACTAACATAAAGTTAAGAACTTCACATCTGCTGACCAAGAGAACAAAAGTTCTCATTTTATTCATTTTATTCTCCTTTCCTTCTTTCTTAGCAGTAAGTATTGAAGACATAAGAATACAAACAATGCCCTAGGACTGCCTCAGCCTTCTCTAGAAACCTGCGGAGGCATCCCAGCCATTGTGTAGAATAGTGCATTGATGATCTTTAGATTTTCTGTTTTTGTGAATCAAAATAACAACAAATGATCATCCGTATCTTGTATCTTTGCTTATTTTCTGAACAACTTCCGAAAAATGAATTCTCAGAAATAATAGCTATGGTGCATACATGTATTCATGGATCTTTGGAGTCAGTGTAATGAGGAGTTATATAGTAAGTTGGAGGAAACTAGAGATCCTCTCAAAATACATACATACATAAGTACATACATGCATACATACACATATACATAAAAACCTCAGAATCAATATACCACGTTGAAAAATCCACTAGCAAAGTGGCCTTGCCATTTCCTTCACTATTACTTGCTTCTTCCTTTTTTGACTTGTTGATTTTGTGTGACTTCTCTATTTGAATATTGACTTTTCAATGAACAATAGCAGGGTGTCCATTCCTGTGACTGTTCTTGCACCTCATGTTTCTGCTTATCTCCTGAAGGTGTAAAGCTTGTCTTGTTGATGTCGACGCGGTAAATGCACATTGTCGTATTTACAGCGCACACTTCCCAATTAGCAAGTCATGTAGCTTTGAGCAATGCATCAACAAGTTCCTTAGTCCTGCGTGATTCGTGAATCATACAGTTCTCCGATTCCGGGTTCTGTTTAGGCAAATGCAATCACGATAGACGGTGTGACTCCCTTGTTCAACGCATGCTCACAAGGCAGTGCAAGCTGTGCAGAACTTCTTTTGGAATATGGTGCCAAAGCCCAACTGGAGTCCTGTTTTCCATCCCCAACACACGAGGCTGCGAGTAAAGGTTAGTTACTGGGTTAAGTCAAAAAAGGGAAACTATCCCCAGTTGTGCATACTCCTATGTGTATTTCAGTGAATTATACTTCTCTGGAAAACATGAGCTGAGGTAAAAGCTGAAGAGAGAACACTAACACAAAGTAAAGCTGTCTTTTATTGTGCTGGCAGGGCACCATGAATGTCTCGATATTCTGATGGCCTGGGGCGTCGATGTTGACCAAGACATTCCTCACCTGGGAACTCCTCTTTATGTGGCTTGTATGTCACAGCAATTCCACTGTGTCTGGAAGCTTCTTTATGCTGGTACTTTTCCATTCTCTCCATGCTTGTAGATAATTAATTGTTCATCTAGCTAAGCTTCTTTTAAAAGTATTATCTCATTATGAAAATGTTCTTATTATAAACATTACCACTTCTGCATATATATTAATTAAAGAAACACATTTGATGAGAATACTTCACGGCTCATAGATGAGTATACACTCTCTATGGGCTGCATCTGAGTCAGTATACCATTTGTTACATAACTGAGACGTTCCTTGTAATCAGTCATAAAAATAAGATTCTCCAGACTGAATTTGATGTTGCTAAGTATGTAAAGAAATCTCACAAAAACTTAGGGGCTCTGAGTACTTGGCCAACCTTATTGCCTACCATAGAAAAACCCATAGACTGTCCCAGACTTTGGACTTTTTCTCCTGTTTCTTGAAAAAGCTTACTGCTTTCCCCACTAAGTTCCTCAAAGCTCAGTTTTTGCTCCGTGAGAAACATTCCTAGCCCATTCAGAATTTGGTGGTCTCTCCCACATTAGAGCTGGAAACTCTTTGGAGATGGTTTGTGCCCTGCCCTCCACCGCCATCATCTATTTTCCCTAGCAGAGTGCCTCTCTGTCATGTGCTAGCTACTTAGGATATACATGAATGAGACCCTGGAGTTTTGTGCTGTTTGTTTGTGATTAAAATACACTATTTACTTCTGGTATATTCAGACATTAGCGACCCCTTGACACATTACTCACAGTGTCTTACTTGACCTATACATGTCTTATAAGCGGGAGATACACCCCCTATTTCATTCACATTGCACATAGAATTGTGAAAATGAATTCTGTTAATATTGATAAATTATTTCCTAGATAAATTGATCATACATTTTTATAACCAATACAATATATACGCTTTATCACCCATCTTCATTTTTTTGAGAATTTTTTCACCAAACACTTTAATATATGTTAACGAACATTGGAAATTATTGTTAGCAATCATTGACGGGTTGCTATTTTCAGGCTCCTTTCCTCTCATAAAGTTGATCATCCCAATGAAGTTTGTGATTTCTTTATGGAAATTTGGCCAACAGACATCTCTTGACTAGATACTTCATATTTGTTTAAAAATACCGAAAGCAGTTATATCTCCTGAAAGCTGAAAGCACAAGAGAGCTATGAATAAACTTATGTGAACTGATTCTTATGGGTATGGGTAATTTTACAAACTATCAGAAGGCTGACTCAGAAAGCACGTGTGACTTTTGTTAGTAGACATTTCTTGGTTTCTAACCGTTTATATACTAGACAATAGTATTACTAAACTTTTATAGCATTAGATATTACCTACTTATATCACCTGCAGTCACTGAATGACCCTTGTGTGCCAGACTTGGGCTAAGATGAATAACCAAGCAGTAGAAATTTTGTTTATAAGCTTATGTTTTTCAAGGAGAACATGTTCAAAAGTTTGAGGTTTTACGCAGATATCATTGAAGTGTGTTTCCAGTACAGAGGTTTAGTCTTTATGTATTTACTGACTGAAATTACGCAAGTGAAAATTGGCAGGCTAGTTTATATACATTTCACCTAAATCATTCACATGTTGATATTCATGAGTTCTCAAAGAAATCAACAAGTTTCCTTGCCTTAAATGAAAATAATGAAATCAATATTATTCCAAATAACTTTAAGAGCTATTATCTATGATAAAAGTATGTGTGTGCGAACTGAACAATGCTTTTAGGCTGGTGAGATGGCTCAGTGCACAAGGACACTTGCCTTGCAAGTCTGCTGATCTGAATTCAATCCCTGGAGACCATGTGAAGATGGAAGGAGAGAACTGACTCCTTGAAGCTGTCCTGTGGCCAAAACATGCACCCTATGGATGGCATCCAGACCTACACACACACATCTCAAGTGTGTGTGTGTGTGCACACACACATACAGTTATAATAAATAAGAACCTTTTCAAAATTAAAAGACACTGTCTCCTGACATATTTCTAGATGTCAGAAAAAAAATACCCAGAAAAGTATTTGAAAATAATATAACTAATGTGTATACCTCCATATCCAGAGGTAGCAAGTTTTAGATTTTATATAACAGCTCATCACCAATAAATACTCTTCCCCAAGTTGTCTGCCACTCTTTTACCTGCAAAAATTTTACCCATGTAATAAGTGCTTTTCAGAGATTATTCCTGTCTACTTCCATACAGGTGCTGATGTCCACAAAGGCAAGTATTGGGACACGCCACTCCACGCTGCTGCTCAGCAGCCCAGTACTGAAATTGTGAACTTGCTGCTAGAATTTGGAGCAGACATCAATGCCAAGAACACAGAACTTCTGCGGCCGGTTGATATGGCTACATCTAACAGTGCTGTAGAGAGACTACTTCTTCAACATGAAGGTAGGGAGAACATTTGGGAGTGATTATAAATGCAGACATCCACCTCGCCCCAAACAGATGAAAGCGAAAGTGCCTTGTTACCATATGAAGTAGCAATGACATAAAAATTTAACTCTTTGTTGTGAGAACCAAAGAATTCAACTTGGGCTCTATGTAAGGAAAATAAGATGATTTTAAGATTTTTATTGAATCTAAACTTTTATTTTCCTTTAGTAAAATATATTGAACTTGTTTCAACAATAAGTAATATGCCATTTTCTGATTCAATATCTATTTACATGCACTATTTTTTATTTGAGCACATGGCATGGTGGCATAGGCCTGAATCTTATCACTCGGGATGCAGAGACAGGCAGATCTCTGTTCATGTTCAAACAATAACAACAAACCTGAGAACTGGGTAATTGAGCCTTAGATCTAGCACAAAGCACACCAGCACATACTAGGCCAGTTCTCTACCAATGAGTCACATTTCCAAGCAGCTAAATCCCCCAGATTCCTTCTGGCTCCCCTATAACTTTTGGGGGTTTGGTTGTTGTTTTTTTGGTATGGTTTTCTGTATCTTATGCTGGCCTTGAACTCACTAGATAGCTAAGGACGACCTTGAAAATTAATTCTCTGACTGTGCCTCTCAAGTGCTAGGATTATAGACATGTACCACCAAGCCTAGTTCATGTAGTGCTGTGGAGAAAACCAGAACTCCATCTGTTCTAGGCAAGCAGTCTGCAACTGAGCTCCATCCCCAACCCATTCATGCCCCATTTTATAAGGCGTGGTGCATGTTCTCTAGTGTATTGTAGATACATAATAAGGAAAGAGGTTTTTTTTTTTTCCCTTTAAGACTTTTATCAAGCAACTTTTATAAAGGTTAGTTCAGAATGTAACTTTAATTTAAAAGTTTGCCTTTGCGATCTATATCTTGGTTCTTGAGTTAGATCTCCTTTAAAGATAAGAATTTGCTCTAAAATTCTGTGAAGCAAGAATTTTAATAATCTACAAGATAATTATGAATGTTATTATGTATTTGTATTTTGTATGTGTGAGTGTTTTGCCAGCTTGCATGCAAGTGCACTGCATGCCTGGTACCTGCAAAAGCCAGAAGGGAGTACCAGATCCCCTGGAGTGGGAGTTAAGGATTTTTGTCAGCCATTGCATACTGTGGATGCTGGGAAGTGAACTCAAGTCCTCTGTAGGAGGAGCAAGTGCTCTTAACTGCTGAGCCACCTCTCCAGCAATTTGAAGACTGTTATGATTTAAAGAACATGTATGGTACATTCAGTCATGAGACATAGCTCAAGATCTCACAAATAAAGGCAATATAAATAATGAAAAACGTTTGTCATTAGCCAAATTAATTTACTGTTTTATGCTTTTATTTTTTATATAGCTCATCACATATAAAAATTCATTTTTTAATAAATATGTCGATGTCTTCTTGTAGCTACCCCAAGTTCTCTTTGCCAACTCTGTCGACTCTGTATCCGCAACTACATAGGAAGACAAAGGTTGCATCTTCTCTCCCAGCTCCAGTTACCAACGTTGCTGCAGAATTTCATACAGTATCGATAACACAGTAAATAGTTTTACATTCTTTGAAAATCAAAACTTTATATTTCATTTTCTTTTTAAAATATAGATTGGTATGGGTGAAGGCAAGTATAGTTCACCTAAGGAAGCAGTGGAATCTCAACAGAGTTGCATTGAAGAATACTCACTAGTACTGTTTATGAATTTTTGTAGTCTTTTGAACTATAATATATTTAAACTATCTATACTATGTTAGCAATCTCAGTATACCTTGTTCACTTAGGGGAATATGAGTATTATTCATTTTATGTTTTTTATTATAGAGCAGAAAAATTACATACTTTTACTAAATTTTTAATTCAACAATAAATTTCATACTGTGTTACATTTCGAAGAATCTGTAGTCTTCCAATATGGGCTAACTGTAATTTCAGCTACTACCATTGGTTATCTCTGTATTTTTAATATTGACAAAAATTTTAGAGCAACTAATACGCTTTTTGAAATAAAGATGAATTATACACTTGCTGTTGTAATGATTAGTCTTTCCTCCTCTGTACAGAGCTCCAATTTGGTTTCATAGTCTTGTGGGTAGACTAAGTGACAGAAGGCCCGACAGTCCTGCCCACGCAACAGATGTGGGAGGTTCAACACCTGTGAGGGCTACTTATAGACCTTCTCAAGAGATGTTTCACAAGGTCTGACGTCAGTGCTTCCAGATGTTACCGTACTCTTCTGCTAGTTCAAAGACTGTCCCAATAGCAGACTGAAGAAAACAGACCTTATGCCTCAGTGACGAAGTCATGAGTGACATTCATACAGTGAATGAGTTCTGCGATAACTGTCTCAGAAGAGTGGGTACCAGGACTCCTTAACTCCTTAGGGTTGACACTTTAAGTGACTGGGTCACTCTCTTGATAAGTGAATCCCTTGGCTCCAGTCTTTGAAATAGGGTTAATGATCAAGGAAGCAGATGAATTCATTCTATATCCTGTTTCTTTTGTTACCATAAACAATTACACATAACCCTGCAGCAGGGATTCTCAACCTGTGGGTCATGACCCCTTGCGGGGGTCGAATTGACCCTTTCACAGGGGTCCCAAAGCAGATATCCTGACTATCAGATATTTATATTAAAAATCATAACGGGAGCAAAATTACAGTTATGAAGTAGCAATGAAAATAATTTTATGTTTGTGGGTCACCACAGCATGAGCAACTGTGCTAAAGGGTCACAGATTTAGGAAGGCTGAAAGCTGCTGCTCCAGCAGAAGGAGCTTAGAAGAGGCACATTAATATTCCTTAAGAGGAAGATGATACACATGTGTCTTTGGTAAAGGGAGACATGTGACAATGATACAATGCAACGTATAGAAAACTCACATGGGAAAAGACAGACAAGCAACAAAGTTCCCTTAGTGTGAACGCAGGTGGGCACAGGGCTCTAAAGATAATCACACCTACAATCCTACTGCACGCTTTAATTATTCTTGAAAGAGTAATGTTTTTAGTTAATTGTCATGGATGTGTAGTTTTAAGATAAGATGCATTAGATGTGTTCTCGGCAGAGGGCAGAACAGCAACGTGATGACTTGAAGTCACATCCCAGCCCCATAGCATTTGTATAACATTTGCTTTCTTGACACATTCAAGGCTTGCGGAGGCAAACACAAATACTGAGAGCGATTTCCACTGACATCTTTTCAATGTCAGATGTCCTCCCTGGAGAAAGTAGAGTGAAAGAGGAGTTTACCAAGGAAAGTTAGAGATTACCGAATTGGCTGAGTTTGGTCAAATTTCACTTGGGAAAGGGAAGCTTGAGATAACAAAAGTAAATAAGTTCTGCTTTGAGTAGACTTTTTGCAAACATGAGCATATAGTTTTTCCAGTTTTCACTCCCAATATGAGCATGTAGTTTTTCCCGTTTCACTCACAATATATGCTTTTCATAGGTTAAAATTACTTTGACCCCAATATTACTTGTAAAAATATTTAGTAAGGGCTTAGATGATAAAATCTCTTGCCATACAGAGGATTTGATTGACGCCCCCAGAACCCATGTAAATGTTGAGAACTATTTGATTTAGAACACTTTGATTTTACACACACACGCGCATGCGCGCGCGCGCGCGCGCACACACACACACACACACACACACACACACACACACAAAGATACTGAGCTAGATTCTCTAGATTCTCTTGCAAAGCTGAACAGATAGAGGGGGTGCCATGCTGACTTATCAATCAGATAATAATGTTGTAACAATCTTCAAGTTTTTGAATGATACCAAGAATTTTTTTTGTTTTTACTGTCCAGAAACTGCGTAGACAACTTTGTCCTTCTGTGCAGCTATTCACATACCAATGAATAACAGCCACCTGGTAGAAGTCTTCCTTTCTCTTAGATTAGCCAGGTGAGGATTTTTCAGATAATTCCCTGGAAAGAGGACTTAGTAACCCAGTACCAAGAACCAACCCCATGTGTGTGGTCTATTAGTTACTTTGCAGTTTTTGATCAAACTCCATGGCCTATTCAGCTAACAGAAGAAAGGCTTTGCTTGGGCTTATAGTTCTAGCACACTGGTTCTCAACCTTCCTAATAATGAGACCCTTTCATACAGTTTTACATGTTGTGGTGAGGGCCCCCAACCATAAAAATTATTTTTGTTGCTATTTCGTAACTGTCGTTTTCAGCTATTATGGATGGTAATGTCAATGTTTTTGGAGATGGAGGATTGCCAAAGGGTTTGGGACACACAGGCTGCAGCACTTACAGATTAACAGCCAATATATACCTTCCATCTTTTCATGTTATTATTTTTACAATGACCACATGACCCAGAGGGCCCTTCTGCACCTTCCTGGATCCCTGTGCTTAGCTACATTTATATCAACTTAATACACGCTAAAGTCATCCGGGAAGTGGAAAGTTCAATTGAGAAAATGGCTCCCCAAATTGGTCTGTGGACAAAGCTGTGTGTATGTCATGGATTGATGCTTGATGTGGGAGGGCCAAGCTCATTGCTGGCTGTGTCACTCCCTGGCATGGTGGTCTCTATAATAAAGCAGGGTGAGCAAGCCATGAAGAGCAAGCCAGTAAGCCACACTCCTCCATGACCTCTGTATCAGCTCCTGCCTTCAGGATCCTGTCCTGGTGAGTTCTGCTCTGACTTCAGTTAGTAATGGACTATAATGTCGAACTGTAAATTGATATAGACACTCTCCTATCCAAGTTACTTTTGGTCATGGTGTTTTATCACAGCAATAGGAATCCATAAAAAAAAAAAAAGCCCAAATGTGGAAACTGCTTCTTACACCATGACACAAAGCACGAACAAAATGCCCTTATCTGGACACCACGATTTTTTAGTTTGCGAATCTTATTTAGGATCATACCTCTTAATAAACTAATTTTCTTACAACCTTTGGTAATCACAGTATAAGATCCAATAGTTTATTTTTTATCACTCTCTACTCTTGATTCATTTTTCTGCAAGCACAATTGGGAACTCTGTATAGTTAAGAAAAAGAAAGATATCTATTCCCACTGGAAACTCTATTTGTAAAGTAATAGACACAAATCATAATAGTTGTTTTTTATTTGAAACTTACTTGCCATTAGGCAATGTTATCCACCATTTCATCTATGTAGATAAAAGCAGAAATGAATTATCAGCATGTTATTATAATGATGCTTCTGGTATATGTTGCCTGGTTTTAGAGACAGTTACTCAAATTATGAGTACACAAACAACAAAGAGTTTCTAGACATATTAGCTTCAAAGTAATTCAAATTAATAATATCATTTGCAGGATCAAACTATTTAAGCAAATGATTAAATCTTACAACCATTTCAAAGAAGTTTATTCTCATATTAGAAATATTTAATTAGCAATATGGCAAGTGGATATAGTCCTGAGCTTGAAGTTCTAATTATTTAAATATGAACATTTTTTTCCAATCCATTGTTTAATTATTTCATTTTCTTGGTTGTATCTTACAAATTAAAATGATTTCAAGGGGTGATGTAACTGTTTAAAAGTTTCTTCTCCATTCTAGTTACCTTAAAAATGGACCTAACATTTCAGTAAAACCTTCTCTGAAAATTGGGCCTTGCTTGCGACTTTACAAATTAGCATTGGGATGAGATTCCCAAGGAAGGAAAGTCTTAAAACAGATAGATGGCTTAGGTAGAAGACAAGTGAGAAAATTTATGTTCACAGGCAGAGTAGAAGTTCACTTGGATATGATTCTCTCTATTCAAGAGCAAATGTTCAGTGGGTGTTCTTGTAGACCATTCTATAAGACTGGGGTTTCCCAAAATCGGGCATCCCTGGCTATGATGTGCCCACGTTATGTCCAAACTTTGCGTTTGCACCGTTTTTGATTATCCTGTGAGCTATGAAAGACAAGAGCAGTGTGGCCTGAAATCTGAGTTATTACTGCTTCCTATGCTGATATATCAAGTTCTTTAATTCTGTTCCTTAGAGTCTGGAGTCTTCCACAGGATCCACGAAACAGATAGGGTAACTCTCTTCAGGTAGTCTTTACAAAAAATAGAAAGAAAACTAGAACTCCCTAAACAGAAACAAAACCCTCATACCTTTCACAGTTCTTGGCAGCATTGCCTCTAAACTTCATTGTGATGGGCAAGTAAAAAGATTCTCAGTGGTTCACTATTAGATCGTGGAAGGGGTTCAGTAATTATACCCCACTTCTTGGCCAAATTCAAGCAACAGCATGGAGATATTTGCTCTCTGCTTCTAAGATCAGCTGCGATCTGTGGGGTCTTCACATCTCACAGGCAGTACTACACACCCCTACACTTGACAGTAGTACAAAAACTGAACCCAGTCAATAAGAAGCAGCTAGCTCCTTAGATGGTCTTAGTAAGAGGTGGGTGAGCTAGCAGTAGGGGAAATATGTTCTTCAGTTATTAGTCAGCATCCTGTCAGAAAAGAGAAGTGCTCTGGGTACCCACCACTGAGAACTTGATGTAAGGAACTTGTTAAATAGATGCTCAAAAACGGAGCAAACTAAAACAGGTTCATGGAATTGCTACTGCAACTGACGCTTCTGGCAGCAGTAATCAACCCCATTGCAGATGTCAAGGTTGTAAACAACTGGGATTTGGGGGCCAAGCACTATAAACCTGTGAGCAGAAGATGTCCACAGTTAGTGCTTCATTTCAAGAGCTCCAGAGGACCATCCCAGGACAAAATCTGGGTCTCAAACTTTTAAGGAGGATAACTTGTGGGTGGTTGCTAAAAATCTACCCCTGTGAGAGCATGAAAATACAGACAAGATGGAAAAAATAAAAAGGAAACAAAGAAAGAAACATCGGATTAGATACTAGAACCAACTGCCAGAGCCAGGGGAGGTCTTGTTGTTATGGTAACATGGAAATGAATAACAAGCAAACTGGGAACAGCAAATCCTGCCTTTCTTCCCCTAGTCTCCTGGGTTCTTCTGTCTCCCTTGCTGTCAGAGTTTACCAGATGTTTAGCGAATGAGAAGTCAGACTCCAGAATCCCAGTTCAGAAGTACGGAGAATATGTCGTAACAGAGATACATGTACTTAACACCAGACACATTACAGAAGTAAAATCAGAGTAAGACTCCAGAATTAAACCCCAGTGGCTAGCTCATTTGCCTCTGAGTCATAGCAAGCAAGTCTTGGGTTAGACTTCATGCATAAACACTCTCCATAAGCCCAATGGGGAACTCATTTCCTGAGGAAACATTCACGGACATGCTAACATGGAAGGGTGAAAAATTCATGAGGTCCCACACCTAGATAAAGAACTAGAGAGAACTTCTGACCGCTCAGAGAAGGACAGCTTCCACCAGGGGTGAGCCCCTTATTGGTTGTCCAATGCAGAGTGGCCAGTTTTCAGATCATAGATACACCACCAAGCAAAACAGACTCAGTAGTGTGTGTGTGTGTTTGTCTGTATTCCCTGAATTTGTTTACATTAACTTAATCCAATGCACAGTAGAAAGTTAATTGAGCTAGCAGTAGGGGAAATTTTTACTTTGTGTGTGTGTGTGTGCATACATATACATACATATAGATATGTGTATATAACAATAACAAAAAAGGATATTAACTTAAGAGGGCAGGTATGGGATCAGAGCAAGGAAGGCTGGCCAGGAGGGGCCAGAATGAGGGAAGGCAAAAGCGATGAGATTCTATTTTCATTACAAACATGTTGTTAAAAACCATTTGTCTATCCCTTTATTCATATTGGTCATTCCATGTGGAACTGCCATTTCTTCTATGAGGAAACTTATTTCCAGGCTCATAAAAATGATAATATACACCAAAGACAAAGTACTACCTGTGTCTTCTGTTGCTCTAAGACTATATATTTGAGGTTTATATTTAATCCTCAGAAACCTTGTAAGTTTTATCTTATTTTCATATTTTATAAATAAGATTGGTTAAATAACTTGCCCAAAGCCACATAGCTAATGAGAAGTAGAACCAGTTCCTTAAAGCTCACATCTTAAATATATTTAGTTATAAAGATACGTCTGTGTGTGGATACGTTCATGTGAGTACAGGCTCTTCGTAGAGGCCAGCGGTGTCTGATTCCCCTAGAGATGGAGTAACAGGGGTTGTGAGCAGCCTGACATGGTGCTGGGAACCGAACTCTTAACCCCTGAGACATTTCTCCAGGCTCTGAAACTGTCTCTCAACTCAGAATACTGCCTTCTGAAATCCAAATCAAAGATCATTTCCTCAGAGAGCACTTGCTAGATTACCTCAGGCCAAATTACCTATTCCATTGTTGGACACACACACACACACACCACCTTGTCAGTTTAAGTGATTTTTCACTTACATAAATACATCTGTACCTCATAAGAAGTTTCCACAGTGGTGAAGCCTGTATCAGAGTTATCTAGTATGATAGAAAGGACCACGCATGGGTATTGGACAGACGAAAGGTAGCCAGTGATACTGAATTTATTATATTAAATTGATTTCACTTTAACTACAAACATCCATATGTGACTAAGAGCTACAATAGCAGACAGTTAAGCTCCACTTCATAGCGTCAAGATAGTTTCTTAAAAACAGTCATTAAATGAATGAATCGTTGATATGACATATTACTGAGCAAGGAGAAAACAGCGGTATTTCATTTCTCTCTTTCATTTTTATTCTTTAAGGATTATATTGTTTTAGTATGTATGTTTTTATGGGAACTCATGTGCCACAAGTGCATATGATGTTAAAAGACAACTTGAGGGCTGGTTTTTCTCACTCTATCACTGTACAAACTGAAGTCTGAAGCTTTAGCAGCAAGTGCCTTAACCATCTGAGCTGTCTCTCCAGCCCCTATTTTAACTATGTACAAATTCACATTAATTTATTTTACTAATGATAACACATACAAATACAAATAAATATTCAATAAAATATTATATAGTACCACCAAGAATATTCAGTCCATGTTTTACATTGTGGAATATGTATTCATATTTGATATTAAATATATTCTTGCTATAAAGACTTTAAGGCGTTTCCATAATCTTTCCTACATAGATACTTAATTTATAATTGCCTATGATCCGATCACTTTGAAATAGCTTTTTTATTTTCTCCATCACTCGCTAATGAATTACAAGTATCTACATTACTGGCACAGAAGGACTCAGTAAATATTTGTTGAATAAAATCATACATCCCGGGACGCTTTTAAGTATAAAAATGTAATCTATAAATTGTTTTAAAATACGTGACTTTAATGGACATTTAATGTAATCATTAAGGAAATTGTTATGATAAATTTTAAAGCTATTTTTCTTTTTGAAACAAAATTCCTACGGCTTCCAGTTCTAGCCTCTACTTTCCCTACCCTCCCCCCCCCCAAAAAAAAACTACTTTCACGCATTCTAGAGCGTTCTCACATCTTTATTCAAAATGCGTTATTGAATACTGCTGTCAGGCCATAATATGCACAATATAAAAATGTAAAAAAATATCTCTCAACATATTGCAAATGAAACCAACTTACACTTGAAGCTCTGTCTAAGGTTTAAGTTCCTCAGACATTCCTATCGGTGCAGAGATACCGGAACTCAGCGTACAGTTCACTTCCTAAACTTCTAAAAAGTTTCCAAACCTCCGGAGCAACCACTGTTGTAGATACAAAGTCCAGACCGAAGCCCCGCCCCTTGACGTTAAGCGTCCCACCCCCGCCCCCACCCACGCACAGCTTGTCTGTTGTCATAGAAACTTGGACAGTGCCATGGCTGCCGCCGGCCAGGCTGATGAGTGTTCACCACTGCCGGCGGCAGCCCCATCCAAGCCAGCCTCTCCGGCTTTACCGCCAGCGGTTCCCGCCCGAAAGAAGATTAAGAAATGTCTGGTGTATCCGCACCCCCCGAGGAGCTCCCGCCTGTCGCGTACGGTCCTGCGCTGGCTCCAGGGGCTGGATCTCAGCTTCTTCCCTAGGAACATCACCAGGTGCGGAAGCCAGCCAGGCCCCAGAGAAATCTCAGCCTCCCTGGGTCACCTGGGGCTCTTCAGCTCAGTCTGGCTTTTGCTCCTAGTGGAAACACCCTCCCTGCTTGCTCACTCACCCCACAAGGCATACACATCATGAAAGGATGCTCAAGAAAAACGTGAAACATTTTTTTTCATTGATTTTATTCCACTGATCATCACATTGTTGACTTTGACTTAGGCTAATACGGAACGCTTTGGTGATAACTACAAAAGCCAAGGGCTCTTTGTATTAATAATAATAAGAATTAGTTTACCCTCCTTTAGAAATAGCGTCTGGTTTGAGAGTTACCTGAGATTTAAAAAGCTTCTGTTTACCAGAAACTACACTGAATGTAACTACTGGCCGTTACTATGGAATGTGAACAAAATTCCGTAAAAATGAAGACCATGGTTCTTTTGCAAAATAACTCTAGTTTACTAATTTCCAGTGGGTTTTTCCAAACAAACACCTGTGAAAATCTCAATGAGCACTTGAATTACTAGGAAATATTGTTACAGCGAATAATTTGGATTCATTAAAAAAAAAAAACACACCAAAGTCGTAGACAATAATTTTAACAAACTGCTTTCCCAATGAGAGTCCTCAAAAAAATGAACCAATACAAGTTTTTCTAGATGTTTCGTCATTATGGAGTATTAGACAGCCATCAATTACAAAATTATGTAAATTATATTAACTATGCTTTTTCTTTTCTTTATTATTATGCATCAGAGATTTTTCAAATGGCTACCTAGTTGCAGAGATATTCTGTATATATTACCCCTGGGACCTTAGATTATCTTCCTTTGAAAACGGAACCTCCTTAAAAGTCAAGTTGGATAACTGGGCACAGATAGAGAAGGTAAATTAATAAATTAGCAGCAGTTTACTGTGAAGGTTGTTTGAGGAAAGTGCACTCTTTACACTGTTAATATCTGTGTGAGGAAAAACAGATAGGCCAGAGAGAATGTGTCAAGTCTAGAAAATAACCAAAGTTTGTCATATTCCAATTGTTTACTGATGGAGGAGTTACTTTCATTTAATAAAGAAACTGCCTTGGCCCATTTGATAGGCCAACCCTTAGGTGGGTGGAGTAAGCAGAACAGAATTCTGGGAGAAAGAAAGCCGAGTCAGTGAGTTGCCATGATTCTCCCACTCCAGACAGATGCAGGTTAAAGTCTTCCCTGGTAAGCCACCTCGTGGGCTACACAGATTATTAGAAATGGGTTAGATCAATATGTAAGAGCTAGCCAATAAGAAGCTGGAACTAATGGGCCAGGCAGTGTTTAAAAGAATACAGTTTCCGTGTAATTATTTCGGGGCATAAGCTAGCCAGGCGGCCGTGAGCTGGGGTGGCAGGAATGCAGCCCGCCACGCCTCTCCATTTCAACATTTACAATACAAAATTAGAAATGACCTGTGACATTTAACATGTATCAATTAGTGTGGTACATAATAGTGGCTTTCTTGAAAAACAATAATGAATGTTAGTAATCAACCAAAAAATTAGTTCAAAGGGGAAGAGGGTTGGTTAAAGTAAATTCATAGCACTTGGTTTTATTTTCCTAGAACTTCTGATGACGACGTATTTTCTTTCTGTTATTGAAGTTTCTAGCAAAGAAAAAAATTAAACTACCTAAAGAACTAATCCATGGAACAATTCACTGTAAAGCCGGGGTGCCTGAAATACTGATCCAGGAGGTGTACACTTTACTAACACATCAAGAGTAAGTAGTTTGAGAATCTCTAACTATATAATCGAGTGTAAATGTGTCATGCTATAAGGCTCATTAGTAAGACACGGGGTGCCAACAATATTTTGTTTCTTATTTCCAGAATTAAATGTGTCCAGGGTGACTACGCCAATTTCACAGACTATAGTTACCAGATGCGCTTGCCGCTCGTTCCCAGGTCTACAGTTTCAAAGTCTATTAAAGATAACATTAGGTTATCGGAGTTACTGAGCAATCCTAATATGCTCAGCAATGAACTCAAGATAGAATTCCTCTTCCTCTTGCAAATGTTGCAAAGAAAATTAAGCAGAAAACTGAACCCAGGTAAGCTTTCCCTAGAGACAGGTGAGTTCTAAAATCAGCACGGCTCTTCTTCAGCTCCGATGAGAGAAAAATTTTAATGAATTCTTATCACCGGAATGGATTATTTCTCAATCCGTTCCTTTCTATGGAAGCACAAATTACATAAGGATAGATGCCCCATTTTTAGAAAAATGTTTGTCTATTAACTAAACTTCTGTGGGAAATAAGTTCACCTACCATACTCAAGAGAGCAGGAACATTTGACTCAAGCCATCCTTAAGTTTTGGGGAAGAGCTAAGATTATGATTCAGTCTCAGTGCTGTGTGGGAGGATACGGTCAGAGATTATTTTCTCCATAGTACAGTTGTTGGTGTGTGCGTGGAAGGGCAGATTTCCAAGGGCTCACCAAAAAGATTGTTAAGTCACCTTGAGTTCTTGCCATACAGCGCATCAGTTGTCCCAAGCAGGTGACAAAGTAAGTGATAGTGGTATTCTGTCCGGTCACTGTCTTTGTTTTCTGGCCCCTGGTTTTATTTTTCTCATATCTATATCTTATCCACTGCCTAGATTTCACACATAGAAAAATGATAGTTTCTGTAGCACATATTTCAGTAAATATGTGCGTCATTAGGATGTTTCTTCCCTTTGGACTATATTTACTGAAGGAAAGAGCCGTTTTCTCTCCTGTCTCTGGAAGGCGGAAGGCTGCAGCTTGAATGCTTCTTCACATTTGGGCTATTTGTATAGCACCCCCTAAACAAGTACTGTTTGCCTTTTGTCTTCCCTTACTATGTTCATTTTTTAAACTCCTATATTGTTTCTCTTGCTTGAATTGCTATGACCTTTGGATCTGCTCATTTATTTGTGAGCAAAGAAATAAAATATGAATCATTTTGCAGGATTTTATATTTAATATGTGTATGTTTTAAACATTAGAGTTAAACATTGCAATTTTGCTACAAAATGTATTTATTGCACACCATGTATATAATACATGAACAGTTTGAGAAGCTGCAGATGGTGGCAAACAGTTGTGCATCGTTGTGCATCTTAAGAAATGGAATATTATTAACCCCTTCTTGATTGAACTCATTACACTACCTCCCAGGGAAACCACTGTCTTCCTGCTTGTGCCAATAATTTCCTAGATTAAAATAAAGTTAAGCTATATATACTATAATGTTATTCTCAGTTTTAGCCACACCCATACACACTTGTGTTTGCATGTTGTGTATGAGTTGTATTAGTGATTGAATCAAGGGCCTCATTCATGCTAGGCAGGTTCTCTACTATTTAGTTATATCTCCCCTCCACCCCCCCCACACACTATTTTTTTTCAGACAGGGTTTTTCTGTGTAACAGACGACCTGGCTGTCCTGGAACTTGCTTTTTAGATCAGGCTCGCCTTGTATCCACAGAAATCTGCCTGCTCTTCTGCTCCTGTCTCCCAAGTGCTAGGATCAAAGGCCTGGTTCACCATGTCCAGCTATATCTCCATGTTTTATATTCTTTTTAAAGTGGGCTTCTTTAATTTTACTTATTTTTATTGCTTTTGTTGTTTTATTGAAAATAGTTTGTTTTCATATGATGTATTCTGATTAGAGTTTTTTCTCCCCCAACTCCTCCCCATCTTCCCTCTCACTTTATGGAAGGGAAAGTTATTTTCATACAATAGATTCTGATTACAGTTTTGTCCTCATTTCTTCCTGGATCCTCCTCACTCTTCCAACTTCACACTTTCTCTCTCTCTCTCTCTCTCTCTCTCTCTCTCTCTCTCTCTCTCTTAAAAAAACAGACAAATAAAAAGACAAATAAATAAAACAAACTGAACAAAAAAGAAAAAGAAACTAATAACAGGAGAAACACACACAACAGAGTCACAAACAAAACCCTTATCAATACATCTAAACTGTTGATTTTACTGGGCTTTGTAATGTGCAGAACACATCTTTGAGAAGTATATATTTATCACGTTATATTGCAGAGAGTCTTTTGTCCAACCAAAGCTTGGAATTTATAATAGGAAATAGATCACAGACGAATTAGGTGGGCTATCACATGAGCTCTTATAGGCAAAGATCTTTAAGTAGAAAAAAAAATGCAGCAATGGGAGAGATTGCTGCCCGGGGAACATAGAAAATATGAGAAACAATGCGGCCCAGTGTCTAGGACAAACCAAACCAAACCAAACCAAAACAACTACGTCTGGATGATGGGTAGAAAAGGAAAAGCACTGAGACCCACAAGTGCAAAGACAGACTTCATGCAGAAATGAGCTTGCACTAGCAGGACAATTCATCCCCAGAGCTTCCAAGAAGGAACACAGCCGGCCCAGCTGATCCTTAAAGTTCATAATTGAAAGACTCCACACAGAGGACGCAGGCTTCCAAACTTCCAAACTGAGATTAAAATGGCTAGTATAATTCAAAAAATATATGCTGATGTTTTATGTTGTAAATGAAGAATAAATAAAAACTTTATAGTTTATTCTGTGTCCCCAATACCACTTTTATTTAAAGTGATTAAGTGGAGCCTTTTGCTTTAAGATCTTAATTCAGCTCTGTTTTCTTTGAGGAGTGGCTTATTTTAGCCCCATTTTTGAAATGGTGTATTGTCTTTTCCCTAACTTATATGTCTGTTCACATTACACCTTCTGTTTACCTATTCCTCTGAGTTCTCTTCCTCTTAGTCGCCCGCTTCAACATCTAGATTGTCTGAACAACTATTGCTTAATAAGTAAGTGTTTATATATCTCAGAGCCCCTAATTTTGCTCTTACTGAGTGGACCGAGGTTATTTGTTTTATATCAACTTTCATTGTTAAATCATCAGTGTTGCCTATAATCATGTCTGTATTCAGATCTATCATCATGGTTTAAACTTTATCTTGTTTCTGTAGCATCTTTTTTTTTCTTTTCTGTTGGTCTGAATTCTTTCAGAACATTCATTGTTATCAACTTTGAAAACTTCAAATTTCCACACTTTAATGCTACATTAGAAATTTTAACATGTACTTTATTGTGTTCTAAAATTAATGTCTGCACCATCTCTCTTAGGCTATAAGAAACTTGGACTACAGAGAAAAAGTTTTGCCATCTCCATATTTCACTTAAACCTTTTGTCTAGCATTTTACTCTGGGTGGTTACATTTTGTGGTTGCTGTTCTGCTTTTGCTGCTTATTTTGTTTTAGCTTTTGGAAAGTGTCACTTGGGCTATCGTAGAACTCACTCAGTGGCCCAAACTGGTCTGAAAACTATGATCCGCCTGCCTTAGCTTCCAGGTGTTTCGATTTTAGGCATAAGACTCCATAACCCAGTTAGGTTACTTTTAAAGCAACCAGACATTTCTGGATGTTTTATTTCATTTAAAGTTCACTTTTGCTCCTTATTTTGTTTTCTTTTGAGCTTCCCTTTATATGGCTAGGGTCACTTTTCTCATTCTTGAAACAATGCTCAGTCTCTTATGGTGATTTGTATTTTTCAATTTAATTTGTTTGATTGTTGTTGTTATGTGTGTATGTGTGTGTGCATGCGCGTATGTGGTGTGTGCGAGCACCCTTACCACAGCACCTTACCATGGTCCTAGAACAACTCTGGAATCAGTTCTCCCACCTTTACCTTTAATCCTGCTGGGCCATTTCACTGGGCTCATCTTGATTCTTGGTACTTTTCATTATAAGAATTTTTATTGTAATCTATTCCAAAGCAGTTTGTTGACATGTTATAGTTATGGGAATGCTGCTTGTGGGTGTTTCTTTCGCCCTTGGACAGCATGAGTGATGAGTAAACAACCTTGGTGTAAAATTAGCTACAAGGATGGAAAGGGCCTTTAAGTACAGAGGGACAACGCTCAAAAATAGGATTAGTTTAAAAGAAATGTGAGGACTTTGAAAACAATTTTGTCACTAAAGTAAATACGTGTTTGCAAAATAAAAAATATATGCTGTGATTTATTTACATGAATTACAGAAATAGGTAAAACTAACTTACAGTGACAGTTGTCAATATCCTTGTAGGATATAATGGGCAACAGTGGAGGGCCTGGGGTACTGGCATTAAAGGATTTATTTTGAGCTGTATAATAATGCCTTAAGGCTTGTCCCTACCAATAGAAGCAATTAATTGGAATGAATTAAATTTATAATCTATCTTTTTATGTAACATCTTGAATAAAGCCAACTAAAGCAGAAGGGGCCACCTGCAAGTCTCAGTGGAAAAAAAAGTGTCACAAAAAAAACTGAAGACCTACATTTGATCTCCACAACCCACATGGTAGGAGAGAACCAACTCCTTCAAGCCACAACATTCATGCATCACCTCCCTCTTCACACATACACTACAAGCAACAAAATAAAAAAATTACAGGAACATAAAGATACTACCTTTAAAGTAATAATTTCAAGTACAGTGGCTACTTTGTTCATCAAAAATGACCAATGGGGAGAAGAGTTATTAACTAATAGAATGTAATAAAAACAATAATGTCCTCAGTTATTAAAACCCAATGTCTTCTTTTAGTAATTCTCATATGGATTTAAAAAATAACTGGTGTTTATATCTTATAGGGTGGTTTAACGTCAAACCAACTGTGGGAGAAATTACAATTGATCATCTTCCTGCGCAGGGCTATGGGCGCAGATATAAACCAAAGGTTTCTAAGGAAAAACCTGTGTCTGTTTTACGTAAGTTTCATTTTTAAGTTTTAGTCTGCAGGAAGAATTTTTAAAAATTCTTCCCTTAGAATTTTGGAATAAGTTAAAATGTTAGTCTGAACTTCACCCTAAAACCGAGTATTGACTTAGTGGTGTTCTGTGTCTCTACAAGAAGAGTAACATAGCCAAAGGTCTTCTTCCCCAAACCACACTATACTAACCATTTGAGTTCTCATTTATCCTCAAGTGCATCTGCCAGAAATAAGAGAAGCTTCTCTCAGAGCTCAAAACTCAGTCCCTCCATAGCTGGGGTCGAGGGATGAGCTGGATTTTCCAGAAGAAAATGACAAGAGTACACTTGTCATTGTAAACCTCATCAACACAGAAAGCATCTGAATTACAGCAAACCACAGACCATGGGAACAAGGACAGCCTATTCAACTGTTGTGTAGCTTATCAGTTAAGAAAGCATTTTTCCCCCAAATTTTTGATGGCTGGAAAAAAATCAAAGCAACATTTCCAGACATGAGAATATGTAATGGAATTCAAGGTTTTGTGTTGATAAACTACACAGGATGTACCACCCAGCCTGATTTCTGCCTGGTTGTGAAATTACTCTACAGTTGCAGGGTAACATAGTTGCCCAAGAAATTTTATGGCTCACAAATTGGAGTTGCCAGAGTTAGTTGGTAAGAACCAAGGTTCTTTTTAAATTTTTTGAATTTTAAAATTCTTTTCAAATTTTCTATTTTGAGACACCACCTTGTTTTATAGTCCAGGCAATACCCCTGCCTCAGTTTTCTGAACGTTGGGGTTATAGACGTTTCCTGCCATACATGGCTATGGTTATTTACAATGAACAACTTATTTACTTAGTATACATTTTCACTTAAAAGACAATACTTATCTTGAATATATATTTACTAGATGTTGAAAGATGTTTCTGTTCTGCCTGGTCCCACAGCCGATTATCCCAAAGAATTACAAAATGGCTTACATTAATTATAAACTGGTTGGCTAATTAGCTCAGGCTTTTTGTTAGCTATTTTTTAAATCTTAAATTATCCCTTATTCTTGTCTGTTAGCTACCTGGCTTGGTACCTTTATCAGCGAGGCTTTCTCATCTTGCTTCCTCTGTGTCTTTGTGACCACTGCAGACTGACCATTTCCTCTTCCCAGAATTCTCCTGCTCTCCTTGCCCTGCCTCTATTTCCTGCCTTGTTGCCCCACTTATACTTCCTGCCTGGCTACTGGCCAGTGTTTTGTTAAAATACAAATGATAAATCTTTACAAAGGAAAAGACCATTGTTCCACAGCAACTAGATACTATGCATTTTATTTGACAGTTCTAAAATACTATCAAGTCCTTTATAAAGCATACTTGTTCATGTTGGAATGTGGTTTTTACATGCTAAATTTTAATTGGTAGGTGGTATTCCTTGTTTCCATCAGATATGATAAAGCAATCTCAGTAGATCCATTACAAAAGAATTATGGGGGCCTTAAATATACCGATATATATATAATTATTATATAATTATTTTTAAAAATATTTTGATTCTTTTTAAAAATTCATAAATTACTATTATTTACTTTTGCTTTGTTCAATGACCTTGTTGAACAAGTGTTTTTCAGAGCCCAGGTTGTAGGTTTTAATATCCACACATGAAACTGCCCATCAAAACCCCTTAACTCATCATCTAGCTGAGTCGTGTACAAGATTTAGTATTTTAGAATTTGACAGGTATGACTTACGATGCTTATATGAAAAACATATCCAGAATCTCTTCAGATTCTAGGAATACATCCTGCCTTTCAACTTCTGTTGTAGAATATTATTTTAGGTGTGTTGTATGTTTATGCTCCAGAACATTTGTTTAACGATGTAAAGATTTGTTGCTTTTGTTTATGTTGCATTTGTTTAAATCTGCAAAGCTGTGATTCCTTGCCTCTCTAAAACAGCTGGTTTAATAAAGAGCTGAACAGCCAATAGAGAGGCAGGAGCAAGGATAGGCGGGACTGGCAGGCACAGAATATAAGTAGATAGAACACTAGGGAAGAGAGAGGAAGGGGCAAGATAGGACAAATGAGGAGGACTTAAAGGGCCATCCACCCAGCCACCCAACCAGCCATGGAGGAAGAGTGAAAGTAAGAAAAGGAAAGACCCAGAGGCAAAGGTAGTCAGGACTCTTTTGAGTTTAGAAACACTGGCAAAAAAAAAAAAAAAAAAAAAAAAAAAAAAAAAAAAAA